TCCTGATTTTTTTCTTCACAGATGCTGCCAGACCTGCTGAGCTTTTCCAGCAACTTCTGTTTTTGTTCCTGTTTGTGGAACGTCACTGGATTAGAAATCCAGAACCTCAGATTAATATTCTGGGACATGGTGGCAGATGGTGGAATTTGAATTCAGCAAAAATCTGGAATGTTGAAAACAAAAACTATTCTAATGACAACAGTGTAACCACTGTTGTAAAAAGTCATCTGGTTTACTAGAGAAGGAAATCTGCGTTCTGTACCTCGTCTAGCTTACATGATTCGAGACTCTCGGCAATACAGTTAACTTTTACCTGCCTTCTGGACAATAATTGCTAGCCTGGCTGGGGACATCCATATTCTATGAACAATGCTTTTTAGAAGTGAGGAAATAGTGATATGGTTTCAATTGGATTGTGTGTGACTTGGAGCTTACAGGCAATCCTGATGGCACAACTATGCCTATGTCCTCTGCTCGTTCCATGACCTGCAGATTTATGTAATTCATTTGAAGCTACTTTCTTGTTTTCTTTTGTGTTTCAATGTAAAACTAATCAGTAGCACAACTTTGTGCTTTAAACAAAAAATGGTTAGTTTATTATGTAGGTTTCAGTATTAATTATTGAAGTAAAAAATGATAAAGTTATGAACCAAATACAGATAAAGATTTTCGGTAAGGATGAAGTATACTTTTCAAGTAGAAATTAAGAACAGTCTCTAAGGTTCTTGTCAGCCTGTTATTTGCTTGAAGATTCTCTTTCAGAAGTTAAGGGGTTGGACCTTGAGAAAAGATTCGGCAGCTGTGATGGTTATTGTTGGTGCAAAGTCAGTGTTTGTTTGTATGTGCAGATACAGCAGGATTTGGGAGAGAGAGATTTCTTATTCCTACTAGTTCTACTGTTATAATACTTGCAGTTTGTCTGGACTCTATTGGCTGAACAATAGTAGATATTTGAATGCATTCCTTCTTGTGCTCTCTTTGGTTGAGATTCCTGTCTCTGACAGCATTTTTCTTGGGGTTTCTGTACAACATGGTCACTCAACCCAGTATTATCCCAAAACTGGCAAATCACATTTCCATTTTACGCATTGGGTCAGCTAGGCCTAGGACACAGATGCAGGGAAGCCATTGTCACAAAGTTTTTTTTTTACCATTCAAAATGTTCATTTCAAAGTCTCTTATAATTTCTTCTAGCAGTAAATACGGTCTGGTCACAGTACCCACTGAATCCAAAAGGGTAGTCATGTGACTTCTGAGACCCACTTTATAAGGTTATTTGACTTTTTTAAAGACAGATTGGTTTTGTTTATGAAACGCATATTGTATATACACAGACAGAAAGAAAGCATTTGTCATCAATAACGGGTCACTAGTCCATAGACCCTAACCAGCTACTTGTTGCTCACCAAATGTCCATTCTTACACACCCTTTAGTTCCGGCTCACCTTCAAACTTGAACAAGCAGCTGTATAAACAGCCCTTACAATTTGTGTCAGGTTGCTTGCTTTTAAAAAGTGGTTGTTAAGACAGTACTTTTCCCCTTTTCAACCACAATCAAAAATAGGGCTAGACAGTAAATGCCAATGATGTCCAAATCCCATAAATGACTCATAAAATGTATTGTTTTGATCTAGTTGTCTTGTTTCTTCATTTTGCTAAAACAATCACTGGTTAATTTTGCAACATCGTAATTTGCAAGTGATTAAGTAATTAGATTGTTTTCACATGATATTCATCTTGCTGTCTAACCAGGGCCAACTGGATCCAAAAACTCTTCACAGATTTTGTCTCTTTCACTTTGAGACATATTGTTAAAGGACAGGTAAATATCGTCCTATTTCATTTCAGACAAAATATAGATATTTCTTTCCACTGTTCTTCAAACATTTTCCAGTTAAAGAGTGAGATGATGTGTTTATATGTGCCAGGATTTTTAAATAAAAGCATATGGAGTACCAAAAGCATTTGGCTTCCCTTTATGATGGATTAGCCACCCTCTATATTAGGTTGAAGGTGACACTCTGTGCCTGTAGATACTAGGCCTGATGGAAGGTGACACTCCCTGCCTGTAGATACCGGGCCTGATGGAAGATTACGCTCTATGCCTGTAGATACCAGGCCTGATGGAACGTGACACTCCCTGCCTGTAGATACCAGGCCTGGTGGAATGTGACATGCCATATCAGACAAGAAAAGCCTCTCTTTTTTTGTTAGAGAGCAAATCACCTTTAATAGCATTGTTATTCCCTGTACAAGTGACATATTCATTTCAAGCTAAAGAAAGTCTTCTCTAAAAGGCCTTTAGCTTTTGTTACTAGTCTGTTTTCCCTCTACCCTCCCTCACAAAATAAAGACAATAGGAGAAACAATGATTTTCAGTCTTCACAGGGATTGCCTGGTTAATGAAAAGTACCCTTTTAACAGCAGCCTTCCTAATATGCTGTGTAATCTTTGTCTTTTTTTAAGATCTGTGCAGAAATTCACAAAATGGCAAATCAGCTGGCAGACTTCACCCTGTATCAAGCAGGTAAGCGATTACTTTATCAACTAGCTAAACCTACATGTGGTATCATGATTTCCATAGATTGTTATCCACTTCAAATGTTCCAGTGCCTCCAACATCTTCAGCCAATCGTGCAATTCAGCCTTCTGTATCTCCACAGTTTTCAATTCCAGTTTCTTGAAAGCAGAACAGAGAGGTTGGGCATTTTAGACTCTTTCAGGGTATATGTGCATCCACAGCTTGGCCAGCATTTATTGCCCATTCCTAGTTACCCTTGAGAAGGGGGTGGTGGTGAGTTGCACTTGTGATATAAGTGACATGGTGAACCAGGAAGGAGAGCGTCAGACAGGGATGCTGAACGTCCTTACTGGCCTGGAGTGACAGGATGGTTAAAAAGGCACTTGGCACGCTTGACTTCATTGTTCAGTCCTTTGAGTGTAGGAGTTGGGAACTCATGTTGTAGTTGTACAAGACATTGGTGAGGCCTCTTCTGGAACACTATGTCCAGTTCTGGTCGCCCAGTTAGAGGAAAGATATTAAGCTGGAGAGGGTTCAGAAGAGATTTATCAAGATGTTGCTGGGTATGGAAGATTTGAGTTAAAAGGAAAGCCTGGATAGGCTGGGATTTTTTTTCACTGGACCACAGGAAGTTGCAGAAGTTTATAAAATAATGAGAGGTATAGATAGAGTTAATGGTGTTGTCTTTTCCCTTGGATGGGGGATTTCAAGACTAGGGGGCACATTTTTAAGATAGGAGGAGAGAGATTTAAAAAAGACGAGAGGCACATTTTTTACACAGAGGGTGGCTTGTGTGTGAATGAACTTCCTGAGGAAGTGATGGATCCAGCTTCAATTACGCCATTTAAAAAATATTTGGATAGGTAGATGAATAGGAAAGGTTTGGAGGGATATGGGCCAGGAACAGGAAGGTGGGACTAGCTTCGTTTGGGATTATGTTCGGTATGGACTGGTTGGACTGAAGGGTCTGTTTCTGTGCTGTATGACTCTACAGAATTGTCCACCTATCTTCCGCCTACTGCCTCCATGTAGAGGGTGGTGGTTGGCTTGGAGACCCAGGACTAGAAGAGCTTTATAGTGGCTGCTTGTTTTATGCTAGGACCTGCATGCCATCGCTCTAGCTATGAGTGCTCAGCACCAATGGAATGGTGAGAGAAAGACAAGGCACATCAGGCTCACTTCCAGTACCCCTTCCTCTTAAAGAAACAGAGTGGTGCCAGCCATCCATCAGGAGGAGGAGTGACAGCTGGGAGGTGCTTCACTTTAGGTCATTCCAAGAGTGTCCTGTCCTTTCACCTTATTGTGGAAGTCCATCTGCTAGTGATCTTTTGCCTGTAGCCTTGAGCCTGTGAAAGACACAGACCAAATTGACATTCATTAGGGTATACAAGCCAGCAGGCGCTCTCCACTCTTGCTGCAGATTTCCAGTATCTGCAGTACTTTGCTTTAATTTGAACGATTAATTTGCTGTCACTGAACGCCCACCTTGAAGTTTTGCTCTTCTCTCCAAAGGAATTCCCATTTGTCTCTTTCACCTTGTTCAGTCCTTTTACAACAGCATAAAACCAATGACATTTCCACCTCTCGCCTGTTCCCGAGTCACATCGGTTTCGAAACATTTACTCTGTTTCCCTCTCCACAGACACTGGCAGACCTGCCGAGTTTCTCCTACTAGACAAAAAACAAACCTGAAAGAAGTGCAGATGCTGGAAACCTGAGATAAAAACAGAAATTGCTGGAAAATCTCAGCAGGTCTCGGAGCTTCCGTGGAGAGGAATCAGAGTTAACATTTTGGGTCCAGTTCTGAAGAAGGGTCACCAGATCCGAAACGTTAACTCTGATTTCTCTCCAAAAATGCTGCCAGACCTGCTGAGCTTTTCCAGCAACTTCTGTTTTATTTCTCTATTTCTACATCAGTCTAAATATTTTGCTCAAATCTATTGTGGGATTTGAATGCAAAGTCTTTTGACTCTGAGGCAAGCTTGCTGTAAAGGTGACATTTAGCCTTGAGCTGGAAAATGGATAAATAATTTCTCACTCGAAGGACCTTCTGAATGGAAGGATCAATGGAGACTGAATTTGAGTTTTACGGTCCTGTGGCATTAACTGCCTGGCCATCTATTTTAAAACAATGCTTTACACAATGTGGTTATTTATAACCAGCACCTTCTCTTTCCACACAGGATTGTTTATGCAAGATGGGGAGATTGCCACAAGCATCGAGTTAACCACTGACCCAGTACTGACCTCGGGGTACATTGAGTCCTGGCATGAGGTAATTGTGCAAAGTACAAACAGAAAAATCCTCTGCAGCCTTCGAATAAAGTAATGCAAATCTGGCACCTTGTGTTTTGAATTAAATTGTGCAGAACCCCATTGAAAATCTTTGGTCTGTGACCTTGCTATTGGTAATATAGGAGCAAATTACTACAGATGCTGGAATCGGAACTGAAAACGAAAGAGTGCTGTGGACCACTTCACTTCAGCTCTGATGAAGATTCATCTAGAATTGAAACGTTAGCTCACTGTCTCTCCATGGATGCTGCCTGACCTGCTGTGATCTCCATCATTTTTTGTTTTCAATATCGGTAATATAAATCTGACACCATGCAAAGGGCAGCTAATTTATCCATTCCAACATGGTGTCGGGTTTGAGTTAACCAGCTTGGGTCTCAATCAGAGGTTGGCACTGAGTGGAGGCCAAGGGATACCATTAGCAGGGAGACACAATTAGAGAATCGGGCACTGGCAGCACAGAGAAGGAAAGGACTCTCCTGTACATCAGTTGGTGCTCACTTAATAAAAGAAGCTAGAGCAGTCTAGACCAGTTTGACTTTTGAACCACTTTGTTGAGGAATGGCAGGAAAGAGATGCTTAGAACAAAACAAGTACATCATGAAATAAATAATCTAAGCAGCAGGATGAAATGGAATAGAACCAAAGAGATTAGGATCAAGATCAAAACCGAACTGACCATGGATTTTCCAATAAGGATCAAAGCTCAAGCTAACTCCAATGCTGTAAAACTGTTTTTATTCACAATATAATGAAATGATGCAACTGTGTCGGCCCAAATACTGAGGATGTTCACAGCTGAACTTTTAAAACAGTGTGTTATAGACATTCTGTGTTGACTGTGCAATCATTTCCTTTAGAGATTTTCAGGAAACCTATTGACTTGGAAACATCCTATCTGAACAGTTGAAAGCCTGTTTACTTTGTTTGAATCTCAGCAAAGGCTATAGACAGTTAAACAAAACTGTTCTGGAAGTCTTGAACAACTTATGCCCAATGGGGCTACTATCTGGTGAGAAAAAGATCAGGTTCTGGGTAATCCCTGGACCAATGAGGCTGCTGCCTGGTCAGAAAGGGATCTGGATCAGGCCCTAGTAAGCATGATCACTTTTGTTAGAATTGATGATTGGATCAATGCTTCAATGATTCAACACAAAATGGAAGGTATAAAGGACTCCACGTTTTCACTTCTTAATATCCTTAAAATCTACTTCTAGCATCCTCATTTAAGTCCTTATCATCTATAGGAACAAACCACTTAATTTAACTTTTCAAAGTATTTGGCATCTAAAGTAACTCCCTTTTACTAAGCCTGGTGGTAAGCAGAAAATATAATAATGTTAGAAGTAAAAACATAGTCGTTGATCACATTCATATTATTTATTATATAAGCCACACCATGGAACTGAGAAGCCTTCTTTCTCAGCACTGTCTAATTGTGCCATTAGTTTTTATTCCAATCCCCAGTTCTTCCTGTTCCCCACCAGTCAGTGGAATGATCGATGACCATTGGAACAACTGGAATCCAGTGAACCTGCAAACACACAGCCCTGAATGATTCCATGAGAATTGCCGGATAAAAACACATCAGGGTCGTATTTAATTTATCTTCTAGCATCTGGTAGTTGTATCATACAATGCTAATGAAGTTGTTGACTAATTAAATCAATCAATTTCTAACAGGCTACAGCAGATCCAGAAATGACATAGGGAAACCCACAGCGTTGGAGAACGTTGAAGCCATGGGTCATCCAAGAGTATTACACTTATACTTGTCTCAACTTACACATAGGCTGTATTCCAAAGTGTCTGGCTGCTCTTTGTGTTGGTTTTTATGAATGTTACACATTGTTGTGTACTGCAAACTATTGTTGTATCCAACAGGGTAGTGTCTCCTACAAGAACGCTATAGTTTTCCAGAAGCCCAGTGGCATTCCAGTTGAGAGAGTGGAGACCAGAATGTTTAATCTCTGGGTGTCAGAGCCAGTCGTCAACTCTCTCCTTTTTGCTGCACATCATGACAATCGCTTGACCCTGACACTCTCTGATGGTGATTTGTTGGTGAGTTACAGACTTATGCTGAATCGTACCAAATGCAGCAGGCTCTACTGCTCATGTTAAATCAGCTCCTATGATATAAATGCATGATTTCAGTGGTACTGAAGTCTGCATAATCCTGGAGTGGGGCCTAACATGAGAGGATTACAGGGCAAATCAAAAAAGTGTATCAAAGTGTATGATCTATATAGGGGCAAAGTCTGACAGACCGTACCTGCATCATGGTCTGCTATTCACTTAGATTATGTCTGCTTTGTATTCAGCTCCATCTACCATCTTTGGTTCCATACCCCTTGCAAATCTTGTCAAGCATCTGTCAATTTCATTGTTAAAATTTACACTTGGATCCCCCCCACCCTGCAACTGGCAGCTCAACTGCTTTTGGGATGGAGAATTCAAGTTCTTTGCGTATTTCCTGACATCACTCATGATTCGCTGAGTTTTGACAGGAGACAACAAATTGACTTTGGTATCGCTCGGTTAGCAGGAGGGGAGAACCAGTCAGCATCCTGAACCCTAGTTGCTGTGCTGAAAAGGAAGAAGGCCTTATCAACCTCCATACAGTTGTTCCACAGCCAAGTGGCTTGATGACCCTTTCTGTGATGATGCTGAGTGGTTGCATGGGTAAAAAACAAAGGAGGGTGCCCAGTGCTTGTGAAACAGCCCCAGGAAGAGGTGCTTTCTCTCAGATAGGAAGGTTTGAGGGAAGAGTAAACATGATGCACTATTTATTCGGGCTTATTTCTTTACCTTTTCAGAAACTTTTTGATAATGGGGGAACTAAAACCGAGCCGAATCTTTTACAGCAGGTATGTCTTCATTTAATAATGGTGTAACCCGTTTATGGATAAACCATCAAGAAAATATCTTTCTTTTTCCTAAAGAAGTTTAGCAAGCCATGTGTCCATTTCAATGGTGACTCCCTGTGTTACTGACATAGTCAATATCATCATATTGTACATTTCCGAAGAAAACAAGAAAAAAATTCGCTCACAGCCCTAATGAGGAGGACAATCCTTTTGGAAATTTCAGTTTTATGACTAAACTCCCTGTTGTGTTATGGACCAGACGAAACCCCCTCAAAATATGTGAGAAAGATAGCCTCAATCCTAATTTTTTCTTATTTTTAAAGGTAAGTGCCAGGAATTGTCTTCTGGATGCAATTCGATTGGTCAGACTACCAGATTTGAAGCAAAACACACTTGATTCATACGCTATAGTTAAAATACAACAAAAGAAAAAAGTGATTGGAATTACTTAACTCTATTAGTAAACTTAACAGAAGAATAGATTATTTAACTACTAAACAGTAACTGCTGCAATGTTGTAACATCCCATAAACGCACACTTGGCAAAAGCAAATTCAGTAAAATAGATTGTCTCACATGCAATTCTCCAGTCCAGGAGGAAAAGCATCAGAAGAAAACTCTGAGAGAGAGAGTAGCAGGGAGAGATGTACTGTAGCTTCCAAACCTAGCTTCAAGACCCCAGCAACTGCTCCTGAAAAACTAAAACTAGAAATCCTGATTCTGTGGGAACTTGACCCCACCCATTCAGGATGCTTCTGTTGTTCCAACTTTAAAATAAAACCCAAGGCTTCACCAACTGTTTACTTTATTGGATTCAAGTGGACAGCCTGGTACCTCCATCTTAAAACGTCACATAAAAAAAAGGACAAAATAAATGTCTTAAAGCCATAGTATTGTCACACTTGCTTCAAGTCAGTTAGTTTGACCTGAAGCGTGGATACAGAGATCACTATTCCCTCTAATATCAATATTACAAGTGATCTGATGAAGGGTCATTTTTTAACCTTCACCATCTGGGTGGGAATCTGGTAGTGGGATTCATAGCATGATCTTTGTCAAATTGTGATCAATAGGACGAAAAATAAAAACGAAAGTTGTGGGAAAAGCTCAGCAGGTCTGGCAGCATCTGTGGAGACAAAGCAAAGTTAATAAAATCAGAGTTAAGCCCCCACCCACCCCACCCCAAATATAAACAGTCCTGATGGAAATTACACCCAAACTCTATGTACATCTCCCGTGGAAACTTGCCCATTTGTCTGTGCCAGTGCGGCCAGCACCATACATTGTTACAAATACTATTTCTTTTTACTACAGCCTCCATAAACTCAACTAATCAGTCTGATGAATAGGAGGATCTAAGCTGTCAGTTTTGCCTCATGTCAAAATGTTTTCTGTGCTATTTTACAGATGATCCCTGGCATTCCTATGGACAACCTGATGATCAAACTTGAGTCCCTAAGACCACCTTCCCTTCTCTTCAAATCTGTAGGCACAATTCTGCAGGCATCTGTATCTCTGCAAGTTGAAGTGTTGTCCAGCAGTGAAGATTCTTACACAGCACTGTATTTGGAAATGGTTAGTTACTTTAATGATTTCCTATAAACAGCATCATTAACGCAAAAAATAGAGAGGTTGACAAACTAAAGAAGATAAATAGAATAGAATAGGAATTTATTGTCATGTGCACTTTTACATGAAAATTACAGTGAAAGGTTTTATAAGTTGCCCCAACATGGCGTCCACATCAATGACAGAAGTCATACAAAATAATAAAATAGAAGTAAAATTAAGACAAGGTTCATCACAGTTCAGTTAATGGCTCTGAGCTTGGGGAAAGCCGATTATGGAACAATGAAATAGCCTGCAGATGCAGACAAGACAAGACCACCGTGCTGGGCTGCTTGATACTAGGCCGGAAGCCTCTGCTGAAGAAGAGCGTCACTCCTAGATGAGACTGCCTCCCCAGCCACTGGAATACCGGGATGCTGAAGACAAAGAAGACCTCCACAATGGAACAAGACCACCATGCCGAGACAAGTTGGCCATACCGGGAGACTGCCACGCTGGGCCCACAGTTCCTTTCTCCTTCTTCAAACACTTGGGCCTAGCTGCGGGCCCGGACCTTCAGCCCAGCCTTCACGGGGAGGCAGCCCAGGACCTGCTCCTCACTCACTGGGTGACTCCAGGGCTGGGGTGGAGCCACGTCTGGCTCGTCCTGGCATTGATGCTGCCAGCTCCAGATGCTTCCTCCTTCACCCGCTATTCTCTAGGCTTAAAAGAAAAGAAAACAAAGAAGACGAAGAAACTAAAAAGAAAAAGAGCAAAAATAAAAAGAAGACAAAACAAGAAAGAAACCTGACCAGAGCGGATGCCCCCTGTGCTCAGACCCCTACTTTGCTGCCATCTTGATGATACTTGAAGGTAGGATAGTGGTGTAGAAAAGCAGCAGGTTCAGTTCAATGCTGAAAAAAATTGAATGAATAGATTGTGGAAATGAAACTGTGAGTAAGTAATATGCTTTAAATGATAAGTGTTTAATAAGGTCTAAAATTAGAAATATCTTTATGTATAGATATGAAGACCTTTTCCTAGTCATAAAGATGACAACAATTCCAAAACATAGATTGTCTGTAAAGCACTTTGGGAAATCCTGACATTGTGAGAGGTGCTGTATAACAGTATATTGGAAAAGGAAATGGAAAACAATCAGTAGTTCTGTATCTAGATCCATTTTATGCAAAAGCAAGGGGCCATGTACTAGATGATAATTAGGCCTCAGTTGGAATAGCTTATATAGTTTTGGATCCTCTAGTATAAAAAGGATATAAATGTCCTTGAATTTAAAATCCCAAATGTCTTGCTGAAATCCAGCAGGGCTCTCTTACTTGTCCCATCTGGTTGAATCTTCCTTTTTATCAACTTCCCTTTATTCAAACATCTGCATCGAGCAGCAAGGCATCCAATGATAACTCCTTGATCTTTAACTCTTCACAACAAACTTGTTCTTTTAATCAAGGGCTTCTTCTTCCCCGTACTCCTCTGGGTGAATAACCCAAAAGTAGCCCTTTTGCCAGGTAATAGCAGAACCTGTTGTGTGTCTTCCTTTGCAATACATTTTGCCTGGCTGTCTCTGAGTGTCTGCAAGCAGCAGGGAGATCTGTCTCTTCCTATCTGTCCAGATGTTGTTAAAACTCACGACTGACTTTCTGCAGACCTTAACAAGGGATCGCCGTGGCAACCTGCTTACATTTTCTGTGACTGGGCACAGCTCAGTGCACCTTTGCACCATCCCAATTCCAGGACTTTCTGTTTTAACTCACATTAAAAAAAGGCAGTTTAAAACATATCCACCTCTTAAGGTCTAGCAGTCATAACAAGTTAAAGCTTTCTTCCTGGGAACGGAGAGTTCAGGTGTAAGAGTGACCATGAGTGACGTAGAAAGCAGACAATCAGCTGTCCATCGACTCCTGGGATTAGGTATTTCTTAAAAATTTTATTGTCATAATTTAGCTGAGAATGTAACGAGTGAAAAATGAGGTGGGCTGGAATAGCTCAGACGCGGAGAACTCTTCAAAAAGCCAGTAGGGAATGGGACAATGCTGTTTAAAGGGATATAATACAGAATAGGATAAATGGTTTCCACTTTTTAGTGAGATACTCGTGAGCGAGCCAATTTGGGATTATCACAAAAATGTTAGAAGAAATTGTGAAGATTTCAAAAGAGTGTAATTGTTTCTGACATGCTTTCATTGAAGCAAAGTTGATTAAATCTGGTGATGTAAGCTAGCTGGAGTGAATACTTTAGTTCTCTGCCAGTTCTGGGACAGGTGGGAAAAATGGTGGTTGGATGAACTTAAATGGAAGAGTCAAACATTCTGATCCTTGCTGGTGGGATAAACTTTGCGATTAAGCTCCCCAGTCTTAAAAGGCGAATCAACCTTTCTAACTGTAGGAGTTGGGGAAGCCAAACTTCAAGCATTTTCACTGCATTAAAAGCATACCTTGCCATAATTAGCTACTTGCTCCAAATTAACGTCTACCTAATCATGAAATCCACCTCTTTAGGTACCTGACTGCAAAAAAGAGGCTTGTTCCTGGTGATCTCTTCTTCCTGAACTTGGGGTTAGTACTTGCTGCTTTGTTCCTGGATTGATGCAGTTTTAAGTGACGGTGGCTTTCAGCTACAGTGTAAAGTCTCCAAGTTCATTCCAAGTGGCCCAGGTGGGTGAGGGCGAGTATTTTTGCAGGGCAGGTGGAGGGACAATGGCTCAGGAGCAGTACAGTCAGAGAGGGAAGACTAGGGCAGTCTCTGGGCACTGCCCATTTAATGATGGAAGAGCAGAAGTTGCAGCGTTTTTTTGGTCCTATCTGGAAAGAGGAGAGTTACAGGAAACTGGGTACTCAGGCTGTGGTCATTGCTGTAGGAATCAGGGATGTGTCTGGTGGCATCGAGTTGCAGAAGGTATGTTGACAATCATGGGGGAGTTGGATATGGTCAGGTGGAGGTGGGGCATGGTATAGTCTCTTCGGGGTGAGTGGGTGAGGGTTGTCAGGGAAGGTGATGGTACTGGTCACCTCAGGATGGTGTAGAGGATTAGGATGGGTATTGGGAACTGAATATTATTGGACAAGAGTCAGAAGGTCAGTGTAAACATGAATGGAGTTGGCGGAGATAAATGTTTCAATCAAGTTCCCGCTTATTCTTCTAAACTCCAACAGATACAAGCTTAGCTCTGTTTTATTTTCATTCATTAACAAGGTGTGGATGTCATTGATTGGGCCTGTCCCTAGTTGCCCTTCAGAAAGTGGTGTTGAGCTGCCTTCCCGAACTACTGCAGTTTGTGTGCTTTAGGTAGACCCACAATGATGTCAGGGAGAGAATTCCAGGATTTTGACCGAGTGATATTGTAGGAACAGTGATGTATTGCCAAGTCAGGATGGTGAGTGGCTCGGAGGGGATCTTGCAGGTGGTGGTGTTCCCATGTATCTGCTGCCGTTATCCTTCCAGACGGAAGTGGTCGTGGGTTTGGAAGGTGCTGTCTAAGGGTCTTTTGGTGAATTTCTGCAGGGCATCTTGTAGATGGTAGACACTGTTGCTACTGAGCGTTGGTGGTGGAGGGAATGGATGCTTGTGGATGTGGTGCCAATCAAGCAGTCTGTTTGACACCATCTGCTGGATGGTGTCAAGCTTATTAAGTGTTGTTTGAGCTGCATTCATCCAGGCAAGTGGGGAGTATCCCAGCACGCTCCTGACTTGTGTCTTGTAGATGATGAACAGGGTTTGGGGAGTCAGGAGGAGAATTAATCACCACAATATTCCTGGTCTCTGACCTGCTCTTGTAGCCACAGTTCTTACAGATATTTTTCACTCAATTTTAGAGCAGGTGGGACTTGAACCCAGGCCTTATGGCACAGAGGTAGGGACACTACACTACTTATATGGCTGGTGCAGTTCAGTTTCTGGCCAGTGGTAACCCCAGGATATTGATAGGGGGGATTCAGTGATGATGATGCCACTGAATGTCAAAGGGTAATGGTTATAGTCTGTTTTGTTGGAGATGGTGATTGTCTGGCATTGTTGTGCAAATGTTACTTGCACTTTTCCAGTCTTAATTCTTAAGAAAACCTGCCCATTCAAGGTATTAGTCTAATTGACCTCCTCTGAATTGCATCCAAGATATTCACATCCTTCCTGAAATAGGAAGACATTAACTATAGTGTGCTGTAGTGTGAAGGACGTGTGCTGGAATATTCCCCACTTGCCTGGATGAGTGCAGCTGAAACAACATACAAGAAGCTTGACACCATGCAGCAAGATATTTATGCCCTTCCTGAAAAAGGGAGACCAATACTGTATGCAGTAGTCCAGATGTTATCTCACCAACGCTGTAATAGAACTGAAGCATAACCTCTCTACTTTTGTAATAAAGACAAGAGGTGCTGGAAAAACTCAGCATTGGTCTTGCAGCAATTCTGGGGAGTGATACAGTTAATGTTTTGTGACGAATATGTATTTTCTTCAAAATTTCCAGTTTTATATTCAATTACGTTCACAATAATGACAGCATTGTGTTTACTTTCCTAATTCCTTGCTGTACCTGCATACTAACATTGTGTGATTCAAGCATAAGGATCGCTGTGCATCCCAAAGCTTTGCAATCTCCCATTTAGATAATATGGTTCCATTTTATTCTTCCTACTGAAATGGACAATTTCACATTTTCTCACATTATACTCCATTTTTCCTGATCTTTGTTAATTCATTCAATCTATTCATATCCCTTTGTAGCCTCTTTATGTCCTCTTTACAATTTAACCTGCCTTCCCTAGCTCTGATCACTCTGCCATGCCAACCAGCAAGTGACCTATTTACACCTATTCTCTGTTTCCTGTTAGCTAGCTAATCTTTTATCCATGCCAATAGGTTGCTCCCTACACAATGAGCTTTTATTTCCCACAATAACCATCGCTATAACCTTATCAAATGCCTTCTGAAAATCTAAATATGCTACATTCACTGGTTCTCCTTCATCTACAGCACATGGTACTTCTTCAGAGAACTCTAATAAATTTGT